CTCACCATTCAATTAAGTCTCATCCTTTTTCTGTGACTGTTCCTAAGTGCTTCAAAAACTCTTATTCTTCTAGTTTTTTTCCTCGAACATCAGTTCTTTGGAATTCGCTTCCTTCATCTTGCTTCCCTGATTCATATAATTTGCAACCTTTTAAGTCATCAGTCAATTGTTATCTTGCTCTACAGATTTAGTCTTTTCTCTTCCAGTAACTTTCAACTCTTATAGTGGTTGCTTGCAGCCTTGTTGGAAGTGAAGATGTTAAAAAAAAAAAAAAAAAAAAAAAAAAAAAATTTGAATTATATCAAATTTTATAAATTTACTTTTACTTGTAAATTTCATTTCAGCAATATCTTTTTAATTTTGATTTATATATATGCTATAAATGTTTTATAAAGTTTTTGGTTTTATAAAGTCTTTGGTTTATAAACAGTTTTAAAAGATGATAAAGCATACTAAAGTGGTTGAAGTGTTTCGTGTGACTTAAAATCCTTTTGCTAAAAATATTTTTTTTCCAAGTTTTTTCTAATTTTCTAGAATAAAAAATAAAACATTTAAAAAATACTATGGATATTATATGCATAACATATATAAAAACATTACATACTGTAACAAACGAAAGGGAGAGAGATTTTTAAAAAGTATTTTAAAATTTCTAAAAACATGAAAACACCATTGGAAAATTTTTGCACATATGTCATGATAGAGATAATTATAAGCACATAAAGTTTATGTGCTTATAATTTAGCAATTATTGTTTATGATAAACAACTTACGTTGTTAGTGTGCTTAAGTAATTAGCTTGCGCGTTTATATGCCATTAAAAATGGCATATAAAATTTGCCATTAAGAATGGCATATAAAAGATGCCATTAAAGTTGGCATATTTTATATGCCAACTTAAACTTTCTTCAAAGTTAACGGAGCAATAGACCTAATAAGCTGCAGATGGTCTCAAAAAAAGTTAATAGAAACTTATTAAAGAAAAAAATAATCTAGCCCCTTCCCGCTTTTTTTTTGTTCTTTGTTTTTTGTAGAAGTTATAAAGTATTAAACATAAACCGTTAACTCAAAACAAAGTTTTTAATATTTTACTCTTTTTTAAAAATTATTGAAAGCAAAATTATTAAATTGATTGAAGTGGAATAGACTTAGAATGACCAGAATACGGGTCATGGTAAGTCTGCTATTCCACATATTTAAGTCATCTGATGTTTTTTTTTAATTTTTTAAACCGAGGGTAATTAATAAAGACATTTAAGCAGGTATTTTAAATGTTATTTAGACAGCTACTGATATTTAATTGGTTCATAAATAGCAATTCGCATAACAGCTACCAAAACGTCTAAAAAATTTTAAAAGTTAATTAAACTTTTTTTTGTTCAAAGCTTTAAAAAGCAAATGAGTATAGTTTTTGTATATGGATATAGTTATTTTTCTGCTGCCAACTAAAAAATATTGAAGTAAGGAATATGTATAGAAAAGATCAGTGTGGAATAGATTTACAAAGACCCATATTTTACGGGTCCTGATTGCTTGTTTAAATTTAATTGTTATTTAAATTATCAATTAATTTCAGTTATAACTAAATATAATTATTATAATTATATTTAGGTTAATAAAACAAACATTAAAAATGTTGCATTGTTTTTATAATCTCTTTATTATTTTAAAAAAATAAAACAAAAATACTAATTTAAATTACATTTTAACTAGCATAATTATGACATATTACACTTTAAACATTTTCATTTTAAACATTAATTAAAACTATAGCATAATTATACTAGTTAATTATAGTTGTGTATAGTAATTAATAATTATAATATGGATTAATTGTAGTTAAAAAAAAAATTAACATAAAACATTAATAAGTTGATAAAATAAAAATTTTGTTTCCTAATGAAATGAATTTCCTAATGAAATGAATTTCCTAATGAAATGAATTTCCTAATGATTTCTTAATCTCTTTATTATTTAAATAGCTCAATAAAAATCTATAAAAAATTTGAAGAAAAAAAATTGTACAATTTTTTTTGTTTGAAAATCTAGTTTATTAAATAATAATTTTTTTTTTTTTTTTTTTAAAAAAAGTTTATTACATGAGAGTTATGAGATGTGAGAAAAAAAGAATGGAATGAATCGAAAAAGAAATAAAGAAACGAACCGCCAGCTATAAATTAAATAAATTTCATATTTCAAAAAAATACTATTTTAAGTTTAATTGTTTCTTCATAAAGTTTATAAACAACAAAAAAAATAGGCAAGTAAATTTTGCAGAAGATAGTGAATTAAAAAAAACTGGACTGATCAAAATGACTGATTATGTAATCAGTGATCTCAAATTTAAAATAAAGTTTTACAACTCTTCATTAATCAGTCATTTTGATCAGTCCAGTTTTGAAGTTGTGTAAAACTTCATTTTACATCTGAAATCACAAAAGGCTTTTAACATTCAGTCAACTAAATCTGCATAGTTTTCAGCTTTATTATTTCCAAGAATGTTTACAACATTCACAAACAACAATCAAGCGATTTCCATCTTGCTATCTGTTATTTTAACAAATTCTTTATCATTTATGAGGTAGCAAATTCGTGGTCTATCAAAAACCTCTGCTTTTTTTTTCTTATAACAAACATTTTATTTCTGCTAAAAATGTATTTATTTACAATGTTTGGAACTGCGAGTGTTGCAAATTAGTCATTCTTTTTGTTTTACTATTTAGTAAAACCATTTTGCTGACCAAGAAGAAAGTCAACCATTTTTATGTCTACACAAGTAATTCAGTTGTGTTATAGATATTCAATCAAGTTAAGCACCATGTCATGATAAGTCTCTTGCAAATAAACAGAATATTAGTATAATTTAAATTTTGATATTATCTGAAAGTTTGCAATTACAGTTTAGAACTCTTAAAAAAAAAAAATTATAATTTCAAAATTCTATTAAGGCTTTAGTGGTTGATATAAAAGGTCTGGGAAGAAAAGTCTTGAAAGAAAGGTTTAGAAACTAAACTTACAAACTTTAGAAAATTGCAGAATAAGAAGTATTTAATATACAACCAGTGTGGAGTCATTAAAAAAAAGTACCGACTCTGACTCCAGTCGTTGAAATTTTTAGAGTACGACTCCGACTCTAACTCCAAAGCAAAATTTTCGAAAAATTCTTTGAATTCTTTAAATAATATTATGCAATAAGTTGAAAAAATTGTTTTTTTGCCAAATTTACGAAAAGTTCTTTAAGGTTTAGTATGAATACAAGATTAATTTAATATTTTGTACATGCACGTGCAAAACCGAGAAGTTTTACTATTAGAGTCGGAGTCGCGATTTTTTTTAGCAACTCCCACTTTACTAAAAATGTCGCAACTCCGCGACTCCACAAACCCTGTATACAACTATAAAATATCAAATAATTTACAAATCGTAAATTGTTTCTTTTTTTTTTTCAAAACATCTCCACTTCCAACAAAGCTGCAAGCAACCACTATTAGAGTTGGAAGTTGCTGGAAGAAAAATATGAAATTTTTGAAGCAAGATGATTGATAGATAACTCAAAAGATTTCAAACTATATGAACAAGATGAAGGAAGCGAATTTCAAAAAACTGATGTTCAAGGAAAAAAACATGATAAATAAGAATTTTTGGAGCACTTAAGAGCAGTAACAAAAAATGAATTGTTTACTAAATTTTTACTAAATGATGGCACAAGCGACACTCTCTAGAGCAGTGCTTATTATAATATTTATAGAAAAGAAAAAGAGAAGCAACATTAAGATAATTTGATAATGGTTGGAGATTCAGATCCAACTATATTTACAATGCATTTTCGCACTTTGTCTAAAAGAGAAAAGGCATTATAGGAAGATCTTCCCCAGATATGACAACAGTATTTCATACAAGGAGGAGTTTGAGATTTATAGAGATAAAGAATAGAATTCGGAGTAAAAAAGTGTCAAGCACGATAAAGAGATGCAACCTTAGCAGATACTAATTTTGCAATCAATTGAATATATGGTTTCCAAGAAAAATCAAAAGTAAGAGTTAATCCTAGAAGATGAAGGGTAGATGATTCATCTAGCACATTATCATTCATAAATATATGAAGATCTAGATTATTGCGATAACGATAATGGTTTAAAAATCAAAAGTCTCGCACTCGTTACTTCATTAACAAGATCTTTAAAAGGAATATGCTTGGACATAACAATTGGTGATTTAAAATGGAACATGTTTGGACATAACAAGTGGTGATTTGAAATGAATTATACTTGGACATAACAATTACTGATTTGAAATAGAACATGCTTAGACATAACAAGTGGTGATTTGAGATGGAATATACCAGGTAGTGATATGTAATGGAACATTAAAATGAACAATGGGACAAATGGACATAGTAAAAAAAGGGAAAAAGTTATATTTTTAAAGAAATAACTTTTTTCAATAACAAGAAAATTATAAACTGCATTTTATACTATTTTTCTTGGTCTTTATGTAAACTATTTTTCTTGGTCTTTAAGTTTTGTTTAAAATATTGTAACAGAATATAAATTAAATACAAAATATAAAAACTATAATTATAATTAAAACAATTACAAAGCAAATAGTTTTTTTTTTAAGTGAAGCAGGTGTTATAAAACAAATTTAATATTAGTTTCAAAAAACATTCAAATTTATCAGCATAACTTATATTAAAATTAATTAATATTAGTTATTTTAACAATACTTAATAAGAATATTACTCTTTCATAGGAATTTTTTTAATCACATGTATCATATGTGCAAGGGGCGTTAAAACTTTTTAATTATTGAAATCTGAAACTTTTTAGATTTTCTTTTATATATTATGAAACATGAATAATTTTTTTTTTTTTAATTATAATTATTAAATATATTACTATTATATTAGATCTTTATAAGATTATAAATTCTGTTATAACTATTATTTTAGATTTGTTTATTTTATTTTTACATAGAAAATCAAAAATAGCTAGACTAACCTTTGATGAAGACTTTTCATTTCAGGTGAGACATAACTAGCTGTTAACATGTTTTTTCTTTCGGAAATACAAACTTTTGCAATTTCTGGATGAAATGTGTATGGAAGCAAACTAGATACAAAAAAAAAACAAAAAAAACAAAACAATTAATTTAAATTAGTAAAATAATAATTTATTATAATATACATATATTTTTTATTTTATATATATATATATATATATGGTTAGAATTCAATAAATATGGCTGCGTATAAACTTTTTTTAAATATATATATTTTTTTCTTTAATATATAATTATTTCGATATTTCGCTGATTACCGAAATATCGAAATAATTATATATTAAAGAAAAAAATATATATATATTTAAAAAAAGTTTATATGCAGTTGTATTTATTGAATTCTAACCATATTTTAACGTATAACAAGAAAATGACATTCAAAGAATATATATATATATATATATATATGTGTGTGTGTGTGTGACACACTTATATACATATGTAAATGATACTTATCCTTTAGTTAAACTGGTTAAGTTAGACATTTTTACAAAGTTTTTTAAATTAAGTTAAAATCTAATTCATATTTACAGTAAGTTTAAAATCAATTTAAAGGCTATTCTACTTCATTATTATGGTATTTATGTATATTTAAGAGCTTGTATTCTACTTCATTATTATGGTATTTATGTATATTTAAGAGCTTGTATTCTACTTCATTATTATGGTATTTATGTATATTTAAGGGGTTGTATTCTACTTCATTATTATGGTATTTATGTATATTTAAGGGGTTGTATTCTACTTCATTATTATGGTATTTATGTATATTTAAGAGCTTGTATTCTACTTCATTATTATGGTATTTATGTATATTTAAGGGGTTGTATTCTACTTCATTATTATGGTATTTATGTATATTTAAGAGCTTGTATTCTACTTCATTATTATGGTATTTATGTATATTTAAGGGGTTGTATTCTACTTCATTATTATGGTATTTATGTATATTTAAGAGCTTGTATTCTACTTCATTATTATGGTATTTATGTATATTTAAGGGGTTGTATTCTACTTCATTATTATGGTATTTATGTATATTTAAGGGGTTGTATTCTACTTCATTATTATGGTATTTATGTATATTTAAGAGCTTGTATTCTACTTCATTATTATGGTATTTATGTATATTTAAGGGGTTGTATTCTACTTCATTATTATGGTATTTATGTATATTTAAGGGGTTGTATTCTACTTCATTATTATGGTATTTATGTATATTTAAGAGCTTGTATTCTACTTCATTATTATGGTATTTATGTATATTTAAGGGGTTGTATTCTACTTCATTATTATGGTATTTATGTATATTTAAGAGCTTGTATTCTACTTCATTATTATGGTATTTATGTATATTTAAGGGGTTGTATTCTACTTCATTATTATGGTATTTATGTATATTTAAGAGCTTGTATTCTACTTCATTATTATGGTATTTATGTATATTTAAGGGGTTGTATTCTACTTCATTATTATGGTATTTATGTATATTTAAGAGCTTGTATTCTACTTCATTATTATGGTATTTATGTATATTTAAGGGGTTGTATTCTACTTCATTATTATGGTATTTATGTATATTTAAGAGCTTGTATTCTACTTCATTATTATGGTATTTATGTATATTTAAGGGGTTGTATTCTACTTCATTATTATGGTATTTATGTATATTTAAGAGCTTGTATTCTACTTCATTATTATGGTATTTATGTATATTTAAGGGGTTGTATTCTACTTCATTATTATGGTATTTATGTATATTTAAGAGCTTGTATTCTACTTCATTATTATGGTATTTATGTATATTTAAGGGGTTGTATTCTACTTCATTATTATGGTATTTATGTATATTTAAGGGGTTGTATTCTACTTCATTATTATGGTATTTATGTATATTTAAGAGCTTGTATTCTACTTCATTATTATGGTATTTATGTATATTTAAGGGGTTGTATTCTACTTCATTATTATGGTATTTATGTATATTTAAGGGGTTGTATTCTACTTCATTATTATGGTATTTATGTATATTTAAGAGCTTGTATTCTACTTCATTATTATGGTATTTATGTATATTTAAGGGGTTGTATTCTACTTCATTATTATGGTATTTATGTATATTTAAGAGCTTGTATTCTACTTCATTATTATGGTATTTATGTATATTTAAGGGGTTGTATTCTACTTCATTATTATGGTATTTATGTATATTTAAGAGCTTGTATTCTACTTCATTATTATGGTATTTATGTATATTTAAGGGGTTGTATTCTACTTCATTATTATGGTATTTATGTATATTTAAGAGCTTGTATTCTACTTCATTATTATGGTATTTATGTATATTTAAGGGGTTGTATTCTACTTCATTATTATGGTATTTATGTATATTTAAGGGGTTGTATTCTACTTCATTATTATGGTATTTATGTATATTTAAGAGCTTGTATTCTACTTCATTATTATGGTATTTATGTATATTTAAGGGGTTGTATTCTACTTCATTATTATGGTATTTATGTATATTTAAGAGCTTGTATTCTACTTCATTATTATGGTATTTATGTATATTTAAGGGGTTGTATTCTACTTCATTATTATGGTATTTATGTATATTTAAGAGCTTGTATTCTACTTCATTATTATGGTATTTATGTATATTTAAGGGGTTGTATTCTACTTCATTATTATGGTATTTATGTATATTTAAGAGCTTGTATTCTACTTCATTATTATGGTATTTATGTATATTTAAGGGGTTGTATTCTACTTCATTATTATGGTATTTATGTATATTTAAGGGGTTGTATTCTACTTCATTATTATGGTATTTATGTATATTTAAGAGCTTGTATTCTACTTCATTATTATGGTATTTATGTATATTTAAGGGGTTGTATTCTACTTCATTATTATGGTATTTATGTATATTTAAGAGCTTGTATTCTACTTCATTATTATGGTATTTATGTATATTTAAGGGGTTGTATTCTACTTCATTATTATGGTATTTATGTATATTTAAGAGCTTGTATTCTACTTCATTATTATGGTATTTATGTATATTTAAGGGGTTGTATTCTACTTCATTATTATGGTATTTATGTATATTTAAGGGGTTGTATTCTACTTCATTATTATGGTATTTATGTATATTTAAGAGCTTGTATTCTACTTCATTATTATGGTATTTATGTATATTTAAGGGGTTGTATTCTACTTCATTATTATGGTATTTATGTATATTTAAGGGGTTGTATTCTACTTCATTATTATGGTATTTATGTATATTTAAGAGCTTGTATTCTACTTCATTATTATGGTATTTATGTATATTTAAGAGCTTGTATTCTACTTCATTATTATGGTATTTATGTATATTTAAGGGGTTGTATTCTACTTCATTATTATGGTATTTATGTATATTTAAGGGCTTGTATTCTACTTCATTATTATGGTATTTATGTATATTTAAGGGATTGTATTTTACTTCATTATTATGGTATTTATATAAATGTATCATACTTTATACAATCTTTAGAATAATTTTTTATATTTTTTTAAAGAACATTTTTTACAAAATCTTAAATGAGAATGACAGCATAAATACCAAAACGTGATTCAACTAATTTAATTATTTAACTGAAGGAAACTTTCCAAATGCTATAAAATATCTTGTGATTCAGTTATTTGTACTTGGATGCAAACTAGGATACCAACTCAGCAGGTCAACTCGTGTCTTAGAAAACAGTCAAGGCTATCAAAACTATTTGGCTCTAAAAGTACACAGAACAGTAAGAAAACATTCTGATAAAAGAAGACACATTTAAATGAAATAGACGTAAAAGCAAAAGAAAGAGACAAAAAAAAAAAAGAAGAGAAAGATGAAAATAAGATATGAAGAATGCATGACAAAATGTATTAATGAAATAGAAGGTTAACTTTATTGGCATCTTATTTAAAACCAGAAGAAAATAAGGAGCCTTATTTAACTTATTAAATTATCTAAATAAAGAGCTTATTTAGATAATTTAATTATTAGATAATAATAGTATTATTTATTAGACTCCAGACCTCCAGCAATTGATACTTATTGTGCAGCATATATCCATACAGCAACAAGATTTCAAAACAACGATCATTAAAAGAAAACAAAAAATACACACAGACAACTGAAAACATAAAACTCAGGAAGTAGGAAGTTATCACAAAAGGGTGATGAAAGAAAATCCTTATCTTGGAGTGAAAAAATAAATTAAGTAAAAAAAAACTCCACTAAAACAGAAGGTAGTGGCAATATATAAAAAAATGAGCACAAAGAAACAGAAAAAGATTCTCCAAACAAAAATAGTCATTTGTTTTACATTCAGCTAAAGTCGTGAAAGATGCAAAAAGTTTAAAAAGTTTAAAAATATTTGTTTCTCACTCAAAGGATGACCTATCCCATGAAATCGATAAGTTTGTTAGTTTCCTTGAGATGTGGGAAGATTATATTTTTATAGATGCAACATATCAGTCGAATAAAAATGAAAACATAAAGTTAAGGAAACCTTCTGAATTACCAGATGATGCAGATATATTTGTAATCAGAAACCATATTTTAAAAAGAATGAAAGAACTTACAACTGAATCTTTTGAGTTCTTTGATACATCTAGTTATGTAGAACTTAGTAACTGCGCATGTGCAAGATTAACAATGTTAAATGGAAGGTGAGGTATGGTTCTAAATTTTTTTCTATAATATACATTTTTATTTTTAATTTTTAATACATACATACAGTCATACATCGCTCAGTCGATGAAGCAGCACTCCACTGCGAGTCAGGCTATTTGTCAGTCGATGTATGTCTGAAGCCCCCAGCAGCAGGCTATTTCAGTATGACGTAAGATTGCTTACCTTAGTACGCAATACTATTTGTATAAAATATATATATATATATTTATATATATATATATATTGATTAAAACTTCATAACTTATATTTTGTACAGGCGGAGAGCATACTAGATTACAAATCGATGAGTTTAACCAAGCAGTCAATGATTTTTAG